TCATCTATAAAATGAATTAGAGAAGGAAATGGCAAAACACTCCAATATCTTTGCCCAAAAAACCCCAGAGTCAGTCAGACACGACTGAACAACAAGAAGACGACTTCAGGAAGGTTACTCTATCTACTGCAACACCTATCTGGCCCATAAAGACAAAGTAAATATAAGATAATTGGTGGGGAGGGTACTTAACCACTCAAGCCAGATATAGGAGTTAAGAAGCTTTAGGAGAACCTTGAAGAAAGGTAGGGAGTCTTAAGGAGAGAAGGTAAGGAAGATCTGCGTTCCAGGCATAGAGTATAGTTGATAGGGTGAAATTAAAGTTTTGAGAGAGAGACTGGGATGTTCTCAGGTGGCAATTGGCTGGAAAGGATAGGAGGAAATGGTGTGGGTAAGGAGAAGGACCTCATCAGACACTTAAATAAAGGAGGGGACAGCTGGAGGAAGATAATTAGGAGTGTTCAGATGACGACTTCAGTTTTCTGTATAACACTGGTGTGGGAAATTTGAGTGGAAAGAGGAAGTCTGGAATTACCTCTAAGGGGAGAAGGATAAGGTCTCTTCCTGTTCTTAGTCTGTGATCCTATTAACTAACACTTGGAATTGTAGATTAGACTCCCTCCACAGATAAAGAGATCTTGTATCTCTACCCCCATCCACCTAGTCATTAACCCCCTTCAAGCATTCTTTATATTCCAGGGTGTGGAAAAGCTGTAGATTGGAGCAGATTGTCAATGTTTGTAGAGGCTGTAAGTTCTAAAATATCTTTTTTTCCTGCTGCTTCACAAAGCCTGAAATTAAAAGCAACCCAACCCTCCTAAAACCCTGGCAGCCCATAAAAGAAAAATTATGTTGACTTCATTTTACAATAGAAACTATCCATGGGACATGTTTTCTGTGCTCTTCTGAGACCCTGGGTGCTCAGTAAATATCATCAAATGACAGGTGTTTGCAGTGTCCCAGCCCAGTTTTGAGATGGGGGTTCAAAAAAGGAATTAGTTCTAGCATATGAGCTATTCCAGCTGGGAAATTCATTTTCAGTGGAACATGTGATATCATGGCTATAGCTCTTTGTTCTTCCAGTTACCCCCACACCCCATTATCATATTTAATAGTGACTCAGATTGCTTTTCCTGTAGGAACAGAAACAAACCTAGAAAAGTACCGGGCAAAAACTCCTTTGGGATTCCTTGAAGATACATTCAGAGAATTCTTTATACACTCAGTAAATTTCAAGGCCGTTCAGTTTTTGGCTGTATGTTTTTGTTTTGGTGGGTTTGGACTGGTTATTGCATCACTTACCCCTGGCTCTGAAAACACTGGACAATCACTACATCAGGTGATTGCAGCTCTTGTGAAATACCATAGTGTCATCACAGAAAAGAACTACTGTTTCTCTTCTACAACATGGGTTGGGGGGGGCTGGTAGAAGTAGGGGCAAGATCAAGGATTCTTAACCTCTTTTGTGTCATGGATTGCTTTGGCAGTCTGGTGAAAACTTGGGACCCTGAGTCAGAATGTTTTTAAAAGCATAAAAATATAGTATGTCAAATTGTAAAGGAAACCAATTATATTGAAATAGTCATCAAAATTTGTTTTAAAACAAGTTAGCAGCCTCCAGCACAATGCATAATATATTTAAATTTTATTTAACTGAGCAAGAACAATTGAATTGTTAGGCATAATCAAATCCTAATCAGGATAATACTTTAAAATCCCAAGAGAAAAAAACATACCTTTCAATTTCTTTCTCCCAATTTATCTTCTTTCCACCTGGACTATTTAGAAGTATTTTCAAAGTTCCAGCTGTGAACAGCTATGTATGTTGCTAAAATATACATTGATCTACTTTCCATTTAGGAACCCCCCCCACATCCCCTACCATCAACAAACTTAACAATCCCAAAGTAAAATAAAATTAAGCATATCTTAATACATTGCTTAGCACAGTGCCTGGTACACATAGTAGGTAGGAGCTTGATAAATGTTGATTGATTTATTGGTGGCAATGATGGGGATGAGATCTGAACCCCTAAAAGGAAAAGACCATGTCTAGGATCTAGACTCTAAAAAGGAAAAGCCCTGGACTTTCCCATGTGGCCAGATCTCTGGAGTTCACACTAGGCTATAATCCTATTAACTGTCCTTTCATTATCAGACTACTTGGCCATTCCTAGATCCCTCCCACGGTCTTTCTGTATATAAGGTCCATCTGGCTCCATTAAAGTGCTCAGATTCTTAAGATCTGTCCTGCTTGCATTAGAGATACAAATGCTTAGATTCCTTAAGTGTCTGCTAATATGGCGGATTCTTTAAATCTCACCCACCCCAGATGTTCTAATAAACCTCATGCCGTGATTTTGGGGTCCCAGCACTCCTAAACCTCAACAGCAATGTTTCCTAGGTAGAAAATCATTCTATCTGGACCCAAATGGTGTAGTGTAAGTAGCACCAGACTTGACAAGACTTGGATTCAAATTTTGGCTCTTCTGATGCTTATTTGTGGGATCCTGGGCCATCTGTCAAAGCTTCATATGTAAACTGGAGATAATGCTATCTGTCTACACTTTGTGGACCCCAAAAGGGACAAAGTTTTTTGAATAAAAAAAAATGAAGCTAATTTTAGCACAACTGTTAAAAATTAGTTTGACTCAAACTTCCAAATAAATATAACTGGATCTTAGACAAATTTGACCTATACAGCTATACAAGTCATCAATGCATGTGCCTGTGTGAAAGCATATTTAAAATCTTTTAATAAAACTATTATTAAAAACATTACATTTTCCTAAAAATTTTTGGAAAAATCCCGAAGATGGGTGATAAGTCTTGGGCAAAAAGATTTTTTAGGGAAATGGATTAAGGAAGGTGCCAGATCTTTTAACAAAACAGCTGTTGGCTTGCTTAAGTCATATTGATCTCCACCCCAGAAGCAATTTGGTCACTAACTTATCTAAGAACGGTCTCCCTGCAGAAAGGCTAAAATCAATGAAAAGGAGGTGTTGCCTACATTTAACTCCAAAGAGTGTGGGGAGTGGTCCAAGTGGAATGATAGTTTTAATTCAGGAATGTTAATCCAGACCATTTTTTAAGGTCATATTTTCCTTGTTCAAGATTCCCATAAATATTACCCGAAATCATCTTGGAGCTAGTTAAGACAATTTTCTGCAAGCTAGAAATAGCTTATACTTACATAAATTAAACTTTCTGGCAGATTGGTAGCTAAACATGGAGTACAGTACTGGTATCAATTTTTTTTTCTTTTGAAATTTGTAAAAACAAGTTATCCAGAGAAACTGGTTTGTCACTGTTCCATGGTTTCAGTCATGTCCAACTCTACATGACACCTTTTGGGATTTTCCTGTCAAAGATACTAGAGTACTTTGTGGTTTCCTTCAGCTCATTTTACAGATGAGGAAACTGAGGCAAACAGGGTTAAGTGACTTGCCCAGGGTCACACAGTTAATAAGCGCCTGAGGCCACATTTGAACTCAGGAAGAGGAGTCTTCCTGACACCAGGCCTCAAATTCTATCCATTGTGCCACCTTGATAGGACTAAGTTTATCATTATTCAAGTTAATTCTGCTACATTTTCCAACAAGTCTATTATTGCTCTGGTTCAGTTATCAATGAAAAAAAATTTGGTCTAAAGCTTTGCTACCTCTAAAAAATAAAAGTTCTATTTAAGATAGTAGAAACTGAATGCCAAACTAAAGCACAGTTCAAACTTAATTTTATAAACGAGCTTAAGAATAGCTCAGATTCTAGAAGGGAACTGAACCATTCTGTCGGAGGCTCCAAGCTATTAACTTTGATTAGTTAAAATCATCTAACAGAAAAAAATGAAATGATCACTATGGAGCAGTGAATCTTCCAAAGATGATAAAAATTATACGTGCAAACACCTTAACTCTTTTTTGTTACCATAACACACTACTATGGGAATAACACATAAACAATACACTCTATATTCTGCAAGACATACTAATTGCCTTATCTTTCAGAGGAAAAATTGGCTGCTATTGCATAAACCCTTCTCCCTTAAGAGGCTGGGTGTGACTGTAGCCATGGTAACACATAGGGAGATCTAATTTTAGCACTTTATTGTTCTTTGACTAGCTCCAAAAATAAGATGGCTGTGGTTCAAATTATATGAAATTGCATCCAGCTAACTTTTAAATCAATAGATCATGGCTAACCACTATTAAAGCTTTTTGAGAAAGTGACATTTATTATTCGCCACCTCTGAAAGCCTATTTCCTTATCCCTAAAAATGAGAAAGTCAGGCTCAATTTCTAGGTCCCTGTAAACCTGAGGATAAATATAATCCTACTAAAACAGATTTGAAAGATATTAAAAGATCTACTGTATTAAAAGGGGCAGGTAGGGTAGCAGTGGATAGAGTGTTGGGCCTGAAATCAAGAATACTCTTCCTGAATTCAAATCCAGCCTCGGACTCTTACTACCTGGGTGACCCCTGGAAAGTCATGTAACCTTGTTTGCCTCATTTTCCTCATCTATAAAAAGAGCTGGAGAAGGAAATGGCAAACCACTTCAGTATCTTTGCCAACCAAATCTCAAATGGGGTCACAAAGTGTAGGAAACGACTAAAATGATTCATTTCCTGTATGAAAATATAGGTATGATAGATGGACAAATGGGAGCTCTTTTAACATTGCACTTAGGGATGGTAATCCTCATTTTTCACCATTCAGTGAAAAGATGTTCTACCAGGCCTACAAGTGGAAAATAGTTCCTAAGTGACAAATGCTACTTCAGAAATAAATTAATGAAGCACAATTAAAAAATTAATCAAAGAGAAATATCTTAAGTAGCTTTTTTGGAATTAAGGAATATTAAAAATTCATAAATTATCTTTATTACTATTTTGGGGACAAGATGGATTTAAGATATGTGCATTTTGAATTAGTGTCCCAAATTATAATCAAATATACAAAAATTATGTAGTTTGTTAAAAGAAAATAAGCAACAGCACCAAGAACAGTACACTGGTTTATTAGATGAACATTCAGTGTCCATATAGCCAATGAGTATGTTGAAAGTTAGCAGCATCATCAGTTATTTGGGAAAAGACTTTAAAATGTCATATCCTTTTTAAGATATAATGAAAAAACTACTTAAGACTTGATAATCATGGCATTGAAAATTTAGGGTAATAGAGAAGTTAATTTTACCCCACACACACATACACCTTTTGATCATTTGATGATTCATGTGTCAGAATAATTAAACAATAAGAAGAGATACTGCATAGTATTTTAATTAGGATGAATAACCTAACATCAAGCTATTGCATGGCTCAACTGCTTCCACTAAGTTTAAATTTTCACTTAGGAAATCTAAAGTCAAAAAATAAATTTTAAAGAGGAATTCTCTAAGAGATATTGTTTGAGTGGAACTTAAGTCACTATGAAAATACATCACTTTTCCAGTCTGCTGAATAATTTAGTTAAAAAGTTGTGAAATTCTCATCACAAGTAATTTATACAAATTCAGTTCATTAATAAGCTTTTAAAAAGATTAAACAGATTTCTAAAATCTAATTATTTTTATTTTCATTTTTTAAAGACGTTTAGCCCTGTTGTCATAATTACTTTATTCAAGGACTGAGTTTGTATGAAGGATACAAATTTACACACATTTTACAGCAACTCATACCCTAACATCTACAAAATTCACAATTATAATACAAGTGAGTACAAGGCCAAGATATAAAGCTATTTGAATACCAAGAAACAAAAGGCTTTCTACTTTCTTTTTTAAATGTTTGACTTGTGTACCAATGTTAAAAAAAATCTTTCTCTTGTTTTAAGATGGGCAGCATACCCTTCAACAAACACAAACAGTTTTCCGGTGCTGGTGCAACAAAGGATTTCCAAGTTTCTTCTGGCCCCTAAGACTGCGGCGCATAGCAAGCTTCACCGAGTTTTTACGTTGAGGGGTTGAGGAAAGACCCTCTGATGAAGAACCACTGCTCCGGTTTAGGCCACTTCGTCTGGGCTTCTTCATAGCTGGTCCGGAGTTGGATTCTTCCAGTGTCCTTTTAAAGTTAGCTGGAGGGGTCCTCTCAACTTCTTGAGCTTTCATTTGGCCAGGAGTTGATTTCTTTAAGTTTTTTTGGTCCACGCTGGGGTTTGCTGAATTAGAAGAGGAAAGGCCAACTGTCAGGCTGTTGCTGTTATTTAAAGAATCATGTATCCTCAAAGTCAGGCCTTTCGAGTAGTTTTCCTCTAATGCCTCTGGGTCCTTTGAAGATACTGCTACAGACTGGACACCACCCCGAGCTCTCTCAGTTGGTAACTCTAAATATTTCTCTGAGAAGGCATTACTGCGAACAAGGGCAGGGATATGGTCCTTAGAGCTCAGTCGTGGCCATGCATCCTCTTCCAAAAACTGAAAAAGAAGGAGAACCACATCAGAAATGATTTATGCTATAATTTAATCAATTCCTGGTTTGTGGCAGTAGACTCCTGTAGCTATTACAATAAGGCAAATAAAGATACATAAAAACTATTTAAAACACTTTCACAACAAACCAAGTTTAACTTGTCAGACAGATGCTATGGCTGTCTCTATGGAGTTCTCCTAGACTCTCTTTGGAATTCTTGAATGTACACATTTCTTCAGACAAGTTTAAGATAGTCTTATTGTAGTATAGTTGTCCTCCAAGCCTGGGAGTGTATACAATTTCACTGCTGAAGACAGTTTAATAGTATTTCATGGAAGGGAAAGCACAATTAACAATCTATCTAAAGCACATGTCAGATGGTAACAGCTATTTTGTGTTATCCTGTAGTAAACCAAAGAAAGACTTTTAAAGAAGGTTTCAAATAGATTAAATAGAAATCCTACATGCAAGCAAACTGTTCCATTAGCCCGAGTCTCAGTCATTGTTTCTGAAAATCAAGAAAATAAAGAGCACTAAATTGCTTAACTTTTTACTCTTATTCACACCAAAAACAGAGGCTGATAAGCTTCCACAATGAATCAATTCTAATTTTAAAATCTCAAGGGTTGTGGAACGATACGCACACTGGCACATTATTGGTGAAGCAGTGAAATGGTACAACTACATTGGAAACCAGTTTGGAATTATGTAAATAAAATAACTAAAACGTTCATATCCTTTGAATCAGAGACTCCATTACTGGGCTTATACACCAAGGAACCATCGATAAGAATATCCCCATATACATCAAAATATTTATAGCAGCACTTTTTGTGATAGCAAAAAATTAAAAACCAAGTTAGATGTTTATCAATTGGGGAATGGCTAAACAAATTATGGTACATCAATGTAATGGAATACTACTATGTGGTAAGAAATTATGTGTGTAATGAATACAGAAGATCATGGGAATGATCTTTATGAAATGATGCAGAGTAAACAAAACCAAGAAAAACCAACATACACAAAATAACTACAACAATGCAAATGGACAGAACTACACACCAAAAAATCAAAAGTAAAGGTAACAAAATTATGAAGAACAATGAAGACTAAATATCTAAATGAGATACAATGAAAAAAACACTCAACCAAATCCCCCCCCCCTTTTTTTTAATTGCCCAGGGTCACACAGCTAGTAAGTGTCAATCAAGTGTTTGGTCTGAGGCCAAATTTGAACTCAGGTCCTCCTGACTTCAGGGCCAGTGCTCTATCCACTGTGCCACCTAGCTGCCCCCCAATCCCTCTTTTCATGGAGGTAAAAGCTACACAGGTATTCTACATTGATAACATTGAAAAATCAGCTGTGCTGATTTTTTTTCCTCTCTAAAAATACTATTTGTCATATGGGATGGCTCTCAGGGAGGGAGAGGGGAAGGGATACTTGGGATAACTATGATGATATAAGATACAAAAACAGCAATAAAAATCTATTTGTTAAAGTCTCCTCAAAAGACCCTTACTAAGGATCATGAAAAATCTTAGGGGAGTTAAAGTCAACAACTGAATAATTTTCTGATAGTCAAAATAGATTTGCTTGCCAATATTATAGGTTTCAAATTCTGTTACAGTAGAAGATTACAGGGTTCAAGAAGGTTGGCAATTTAAGTTGCTATTTATAAGAAGGGTAGGAAGATTTTAAAATTGAAAGAAAACTTAAGAGATTATCTAGTAAGACCTTTGAGGGAAAAAAAATTATTGCTAAGTGATTGGGGGGGGATTTTTTATTTTTGTTTTTTGCCTTTTGAATATTTAGTGAACTTTAAGCAACTGAAGTTCATTAAATAAGTTCCAGTAACTACCTTTTTCCCCTCTAAATTATAAAAAGTAGGTATAGAAATGATGGGGTATCAGAAAGTTACACTCAACACAAAGTCTCTTATAGTTAAGCTAATGTGTCATGAGGAATATCTAAAAAAAGCAAGTTAAACAACCTCTGAAAGTGAAGTCGGTTCTGCCCATGATCATTTCTAATCTGAAGGACCTTTGTGGTAACAAGTCTACAGCAGAGCGGACCCAAAAGAGCCTAACCTAGAAATAACCTATACTCGCTCTCTCCCCACCCTAAATCAGAGGTCATCTAACCTCCAGAAATACTAAAATTGCATTTACCCTGTCAAATCAATGAAAACCAAAGCCATCTAAAGATTTCTTCTAAATAAATATACAAGTACAAAAATATGAACAGAAATATATAAAGCATTATTTCATAAAGTTAGTTACTTGGCAGCTTTCCCAGAGACAGAATCCAGTGGTGGATGGGGCTTTGTGCTGAGAACTATTACTAGAGGTGTCAAATGCAAGTGACCTGAAAAATCCCTGTGGGGCCTGAACCAGATTAAAATAAAATTGGGAGATGTTTAACAAAATTAATAAAAATACGGTACAACAGAGACATCAGTTTGTGGCTTCTAAGTCAAATATTTGGCCCACAGGGATCTGTTTTGATTTGAGTTTGACAGCACTGCTATATACCCATAGCCTTGTTTTAAATTCTAACAACAGTTCGCTTATTCTTCAAGTCCAGGTTAGATACTTTCTGGAGCTCTATCATCAGTAAATAAGCTATTTTACTCCCTTTTCTATGATAGTCATTACTTATAAAGATATCAATTATTCTAAATGTGCAGGTGGGAAAAAAATGTGATCATATCTTTTGTCCTTTTAACAACGTGCCCAAAAGATTCCCTGGAATCAGAGGGGAATGATCTCTACTTGAGATGCTGCCAGCTCCAGTCACAAATAAATATTAATCTCTGATGCAAAACTGTACACAGTACATAGTACATAGTTAGGAACCAGGTTCTGATAGTACTATATCTAAAAAACTATGCTTTTATCTCTAAAACTTACATTTAAGAACCTTACCTTTTTTGAGGCCAGAGTGAAAAGGCTAGAAAACTTAACAGTAGAGAGTTTTGTTTCTAAAATAAATTCAGTTTCATATTATAGACATCAAAGTGCTTTAGAAAATAAAGCCATTGGCTGAGAATCCTATGTAGTCAAGTAAAGGGACTGAGCACAAAAGTATACAGTCCTAATCTTGGTGTCCTATCCAGAAAATACAGCTTTAACACAATAACTTTCCTCTCTGGATCATTGGTTCACTTATTTTATGCCTGTATGCCTCACTTCAAAAGCATAGTATCTTCAATTTACTTTTGATAATGAGCAGATGATTATGAATACTTCTCACATCTCAAGGTAGCTATGTTTTAGATAAGGATGACAAGGCAATCAAGACTTGCTTTTCTTTACAATAACAGAAGCTATATATGGAGTTTGTCATTTTTCCTATTCTGAATCAGGTACTCTTAAGTTCATCTTTGCCCTGCAAAAGTAAATTCTAACTAGGTTTGGTTAGGGAAAAATCTGTCCAATTTTTAAAGGATTTAGCAGAGACACTTGATAAAAAAATAATTTTGTGGTAATAGTGAGAATGACATCTGCTACAACAAAATAAATAGCCAAGTAGATTCTAGACAGCAGCTAGACACACTACTTGTGGCTACCCATGATGAAATCCAAGAAAAGGGACAACAAGCCTCAAAGGAACACCATTAGACTAGTATGGATTAAAAATTGATGGAATCCTTTACAAAAGAGACAGACAATGGGACAAGTTCAGAGTTAACACAATTTATTGTAATTTCTGTTGTGCCATTTCTTTTTAAATTCACAGACTGTTATTCTGATACTACGGGTGCTAAGGCTTCTCTTCCCCCATTTCCTCCTTGCATTTTTCCTTTTCCTTTTCTTTTTATTGGCATTCTGTGGGAATACATTGCAACTGTTAGCAGTCAACTGCTTTTATAGACCCACCCCACATTGTTATTTGAATTACCTTTTTCTAGACTCATAAAACACAAGACATAAGGGCATAAACTGCGTATTTTTAAACCTCAAAAAAAATTTTTAAATAACATCCTATCAACAGAAGAAGTATTACATAATCTGAGTGTGAATTGAATACTCTATAAATTATTTGGGCTAAAACAGAACTTTATCAAAAAGTCATGCTTCAATAACCAATCTTTGTCCCAGAGGAGAGATTATGAAACACTCTTCCCTACACTAGACAGAGTGTTTGGGAACAATGGGTACAGGATGGTGTATATGCTGTTAAATGAGGTTGCCCTGGCAGTACGTTTTACTCAGCTGTTTTCCTTTGTTACAAAGAAATGTTAACAGTCTTCCTTCATTACAAGGAAGGATTAGCTTTCACTTTTGTTACAGAGGTGGGTTCTACGGGAGCAATATATCAATTTAAAAAAGGCCTCAATATAGAAGAAATCAAGACATATCTTTTTGTCCCTATACTGCCACTATAAACTATATCACACAATAAATTCCCCCTTTCCTAAATCATAACTACTAAAATTTTGCCTGAATAAAAGGAACTTGAAAGAGGAGAGTGGGAAGGGGAAGTTCCCCATCTTCATAGCAACTTACATTTATATAACACTTTAACATCACAAAGTAAGCTTTACTGGCATCCAATATTTCTATTAAGCTGTAATAGAGACAAGTCTTAGATTTGAATGGTTGTATTCTAATGAGATATTGTCAGTAAAGCCTGCTTTGTGATGTTAAAGTGTCATATAATGTTTTAAGTCACATGTCAGCCCTGTCCAAATATTTTAAAAGTCTTAAGAGTTATTCATAATAAACTTAAATATCACCACACTTTTAATGGGGGCTGTTAGCCAAACAAATGAAAAATTATTGGAGCTTGTCATAAATACAAAACAACAGAATATACAAGAGGCATTTCTGAGAGTCAGACTTTGAAGATTTGACTTCAAGTTTCATAGACAAGTAAAAGAAAGGAAAACAAAATTTCACATGAGCAAAAGTTTGTCCTTTTTATGTTTATCAGAAATTACTCAATGCCTACATTGTTCTGATTACTTCTTTGTATTTTAGCAGGCCAAATGATCTTTTTGCATACCTGTAAGTGGGTTGTGACATTTATAAACCAGGGATCAAAAACTATCTAAAGTCCTGCTGCATCTCAAATTAACTTTTAGGGAAAATACTTTCAGATGGCCTACTTTATCATTTTGTTATACTTCATTAGAATACAGACAATGGGACACATTTGCCATCTGTATTAAGATTAAATATTCTTGTCGTGACATCTTTCCTACCATACCTCCTGAATTCACTCTTTATTTAAAACAAAACAAAACAAAACATTAGGTAGCAAAGCACTAGATGCATCCAAATATTCCAAAACTGGAAATTACTGAAAATAATCATGTATAATTGATCAGATAAAGAACCCTCAAAAAGGGTTCGATAGGTAAGTTGCAGAAAACTGTGACAACAAAGGCACTTAAAAAATGTGAACAGTGATAAGTAGCTTACCAATTTATATCTGAAAATTAAAGAATACCAGGGGCAGCTAGATGAGGCAGTGGACAGAGCACCAGCCTAGAGTTAGGAGGATGTGAATTCAAATCCATCCTCAGACACATAACACTCACTAGCTGTGTGACTCTGGGCAAGTCACTTAACCCCAACCACCTCACCAAAAAATAAATAAGTAAATGAATGAATGAATGAATAAAATAAAATAAAAATTAAAAATACCTTTTTTTTAAAGTAATTTTATTTATTTATTGGCTAGGCAATGGTGTTAAGTGACTTGCCCAGGGTCACAAAGCTAGTAAGTGTTATGTTTTTGAGGCTGGATTTGAACTCAGGTTCTCCTGAATCCAGGGCCAGTGCTCCATCCACTGTGCCACCTAGCTGCCCCAAAAAAATACCTCTTAAGGAAGATGAAATTACTGAGGGTGTGAAGCAGCAGGATATAGCAGTATCAAGTCCCCAAAACTGTCCACAATTTGACACTGTCAAGCACTGTGCTATATACTGAACTTCCCACACCTATGCTGAATATCAGTATAAACCCTAGTTTTCTGACTCTTTCATAAGTCACATCTTAGCACCTTAGGTGATGGTGGTGGCTTTAAGACCTGCACAAGGAAAAACTATTCAATTGCTTTCACTACTTTGGCAAGGTATATAGATGGTAAAGAATGAAATAACTCATAATGAGACATTAACAAGATTACAAAACTAAACTTGGTACAGACTACAGCCAGTCAATTTGAAATGCCCAGTACCTACATGGCTCTCAAATATTTAAAGGTAGTGAATTAAACTTAACGGGCTGATAAACCATCAAAGAGATATGAGTAAAGACTGGACTTATGATGTCACTGGTTAAAGGGAACTCTCAGGTGAGCAAACTTTTGTATCTCAATACAGGTCAGCACCTTCTCTGCAAATAACAGTCTTAGAGCCACTCCTATAGTGGTCAAATTCAAATTCAAATAGAAACCAGTTCCTGCAGGACACATATTGACTTAGAAAACCACAGATTAACATTATGTAGCTTGTACCATATTTTTATTTATTTTGCTAGACATTTCTCAATTACATTTTAATCTAGATCAGCAGACGGCCTCCTGTTTGACACCTCTGGCCTTAAGCATTGAGAGATTTGCCCAGGGTCAGACTCAGTATATGTTAAAAAGGTGGAATTTAAACCTAGGTCTTCCTTGCTTCAAGGCTAGCTCACCAGGTACCATATGCCATCCTGTTTCTCAGACCATCAAAACACCCACCAAAATCTTTAATTTCCTGAAAACTAAAAATAATGGAAAAAATGCCACATGACAGAAATTCTGTAGAAATTGGAACTTAAACTTAAAATAATCTTGAGTAATAAAAGAAAGAAAATAGGAAAAGTTTACCTTGACTGGTGGTGTGGAACAGGTGGAAGAAGACATTGTTAAAGTTTCCTGACTATTATATGAGGGACTGTCTGCCAGATTTAGATAAAGTTCATCTTCACATGTGAAGTTGCCTTGATTGTCCACTCCAGGTGAGATGCAGATGACTATTGCACTAGTATTATCTGCACGGAGCATGCGCTGTCGCCAGCGACCTAGTGCTTTATTAACAAGCATTTTGGCACAAGATTGCCCATGTTCCCCCTATATTAAAAAAAAAATCAATGTTAAAAGGCAAGATCTTTTTTTTGGGGGGGGGAAGGGGTAGGTGAAGTGACTTGCCCACAGTCACACAGCTAGTAAGAGTCTGAGGCCACATCTGAACTCATGTCTTCCTGACTTCAGGTCAGTGCTCCACTGTGCCACCTACCTGCCCCTAAGACTTGCTTCCGAGGGGAATTTAGCATAAAAAATTGAGTTCTCACAGTAAGAAAGTTTCTATGTTATAAATTACAATATAACAGTTTCAAAAAGCATCACATAAGATAAATCCTGCAAAATGCAATAAACATGTTCCTGAAAAAAATATCAACTGTATTTCAAAAAACAATCACTCTCTAAATGCACAGTGGGGCATGCAAACATACTTCAAATAATCTTTTAGGAAATCTTTTCCCAAAGTAGGTAATCATTTTTTAAATTATCTGCTTTGTAATCTCAATGATCATATTTGCTATGATAAGCAAGAAAATACTTCACTTAATATAATGATTCTTTTTTAAAGTTTAGATTTAGTCACTATTTTACCTATTTACAACTTAGATTTTAGTGTTCATCATGCCAAAAAATAAAAATTACCCAAATACACCAAAATTTTTAAAAATCTGTTTTAGCTTACTCTTTTTTAAGAAAACAAGGTCACAACATGATTATTTTTCATCTATTTTTATCTACTTGGTTTGCAAGAAATTTTACCTCCACCGTTTTAATTAGAGAGAGTCAGATTACAAATTAAGAAAAGCACATTCTAAAAAGAGCAGGTTTGGAGAATTAGATTTTATAGAATGGATCAACATTATACATGATTGAAATACCCAGACTTTTTTTTTAATTCTCAGATTACCTCAAATGATGAGGACCTATTTTTAGGTAGGTTTTCATAATATAATGAACTTCCAAAGTAGCTGGCAAGGTATTACACAAATACATTTCATTAGCATTCAAACATAAAAAGCTCCATGGAAGCAATTCAAAATATTGTGTCTTAATAATACATTCACTAATGGTTCCTCTGGGAATTGAGAGATGCTGTGCCAGTGACTGACAAAACAGTTCTCTTCATGGAAGACATTTTTCAATATAGGAGTATAAGGACTGAGACTAAATAAATTTATAATGATATAAAGATGTAACATTAATTTTCAGAGCTCAACTATCCTTTAAAGTAAGCTTCCTTTTTTTTCCTTCATGAAAAAGATCTATTTGAATTACTAATTACAGATCAGGACTAAATGAATTCAGAATCCTCTTCCAGCTCTTGAGACTGTATGCTTCTGTGTGCTGTACAATAAAATCTTTATTAACCGGACCACTTAATTACCTAGAATTTTCTTACTGTGATTAGAACATATATAGCAGAGTCAAATAAGAAGAAAATAAACATTAACTGAGTACACAGCTCATCCCAAATCAAGACTATAACATGACTATACTGATTCAAACATAAAGCAATGATTCAAATGACAAGAAAACAAGCATGAACTGAGTAAATAAATATCTGTTCCAATTAATCTTTAACTCGGAAGGAGGAGTTTCTTTGATCCCTAACAAGAATACAAAATCAAATCAGTTATAAGTCATTATCAACTATCATAAAAGCAAATCGACAGATTTTATAAAAAAGAGTAAAGTTATTCTTCAGGTCATAAAAATAAGACATAATGCATGCTACACAATGATTATTCTGAGGAAGAACAATGTACCATGCATGATGTGGACACACAACACAGAAGAACTTTCTAAGTTTAACCAAAAGTTAATTTGCCATACCAAATACTTAATAACAATTATTACAACATAGAATATTTTAATGGCTTTTTTAAAAAAGCAAATACTCTTTTTTAAAAAAGACTTATTAAAAGATAAGATCTCTTTAGAAAGCTGTTGACATGGGGCAGCTAGGTGGTGCAGTGAATACAGCACTGGCCCTGATGTCTGGAGGACCTGAGTTCAAATCCGGCCTCAGACCGAACACTTGACGCTAGCTGTGTGACCCTGGGCAAGTCACTTAACCCCAATTGCCTAAAGGAAAAAAAAACAAAAACAAAAAAAAACCTGTTGACAGCCTTTACTGACCAGCCTAGGATCTGTCCTGAAACTAAGTATGAAGAGCAAATCTGTAATCTATTTCTTATCATTCACTTTCGTCAAAAAATTTAGTTTACAAGAAGATCCCAGGTAAATGAAGACAATTAGATGGATTCTCATTAATCCAAGTTTTATTCTACATACTGCTGTCTTCAAGATCCTATTCTCAGTATCCTGTAACAATTCCTATTGTTAGGAGAAACACAGAATAGTGAGCTGCCTTTATTTTTTTCCCAATTACCCTATGACAAAAGCATGCAACATTCCATTACCATAGAGAGTACACAATATGCTAAAGTGATGATTATAGTATTACTTCCATGAAAATATTTGTCTGAATTAAAAGGACTGGCCTAGTACTTTCCACTTTCACCTAGTTACTTCTGCTTCCTCAATTTATTTGAAGTTCCTCAGTATCAGACCAAATAAAAGCCACCACAAGACTAACTGGTAAGTCCTCCTATTTGATACTTCTAACACTGAAAATAGAGAGGCATTGAAACAACAACTAACTTATTAGCATGAACAAATTTCACAGAATTCTAAGACAGAAATAATACATTCTAAGATTGCTCACATATGTTTATGCTTTCAGAGAAACCTCTGAATGAACACAGAGGGAGTAAAAACAGAAATATTAGTGTTAATTAGGCAACATAAAATAAGTAGAATACTGATACTGGGAGGGAAAAAGGGGGGGGAATATCACAGTTTGTGTTTTAAATATTTACCAAGACATGAAAAATAGTTTTGAGAATTTTTTTTAAGTTTTTTACCTCTAGTTAACCAAGCAATTAAAATTAGTCAGAATACCTCATTTACCTAGAATTCTAATTAACTGCTTAAATTAAGTTAACATTTAATTAAAATGGCTGAATACCATAAAAAAAAATACACCAAAATAGGTAACTGGAATTTACATAGAGCCTAAAAGTTTGCAAAGCACTTTACATAAACTACCTCATCTGAGTTTCCTAACACCTTGGGGTATTATTATCCCCACTTTAAAGATGAAAGAATTGAGACCCGGAAAGAATGAGTGATTTAACAATCTTTTATTATGTTTTTTAGAGACTTTTTACTAAGAATGCATTGAGTCATAAAACTAAGCTCCCCTTCTAAAAAACATGTAATTCCTACCTCTAAGAGCCCTACGACTTTGTTTTTTAAGTTACCTTTAAAACCTGGTGGCTGTTAAAATGCAAGAAAGAGGGGGGAAACGTTTCACTCTACGTATCAAAGTTCTAGATCCACACTCTCTCCCATGCACCCCCCACCTCCGCCAAAATGGCCACCAATCTTTTATGACCTAGCACCTAGCCTACTGTAATCACCTCCTTCTAAAGTCTCCTTGCGTCTATTCCCTCTCCATCTTCAATTGGCCGTCCACATAATTTCTGAGGCACATTTCTCACTGTTATTCCCAAGCTCAACAAAAGTACTAAAGACCAGAATGAGGACAGCAACATCAAATTATCAAGGTCTCTCTCCTCACCATCAAGTACTTTTTCTCCTCTTGGTCCTGGCACATCGCAATGGCATCCTGAGGAGGAATCATGTTCCAAAGTCCATCACTGCCCAAGATTATATACTTGTGTTTCCGGGGATCAAGAGTATGTACACTTGTGTCTGGTTCTGGGGACACCACAAACTCTCCAGTGTAAAAATCATAACTCCACAAGTCACCTGATTGGGAGGAAAGCAAAAAGTATTGTTACATAAGTTAGTCATTTTCATTAGTAACTTCTGGTTTGATGCTAAAACAATTAATAATTCTCAACTGCAAGCAAAATAGTACATCAGAGACAAAATCTTATAGATCAAAATATCATGGCACAAAGAATTGAGCAGTTACCTTTATATTTTCAATACAAGATAAGAATATGTTTTTGTTAGTATCACTGAGAATTCGTGGGCATAAAACTAAATACTAGAATATTGCAACAGAAGGATCTCTTATTCAAAAGAAACCTAGGAGAAATGGAAAGGGAAATGGTTCTGTATTTATCTCTATGAAAATCTACAAACCTAAGTACAAAAGGATGCTTCATGTAGGTGAAAAGAAAAACAAACCAACTGATGAATGTGGAAGAGCAAATTATAAAAGGAAAACATTGTTAATAGGCTCCCTAATACACATCACAAACTAGTACAGAAATAAGATATGGTAGTAATGGGGGGAGGGAGATGGAAGTAGACAGGGGGCAGAGATTGCAATTATCTGGATATATGCATGAGGTTCATTCCATTTTTTTTGAAGCAAATATATTTAAAATTCCCATCTTGCTTGACAATTTCATTTCATATACCAACAGGAAGCCACACAAGGTAACTGCTTCTCTAGACTTATAAGCAACAATGAAGAATGCTTACTGATATGGAAGTGACAAAAAGTTTAAGAGAGAGTGCAATCTCGAAGTCTAGAATAGCAAAGAAAGGGAATGCTAGAAATGCATGTGCCATGGATTTTAGGAAAGCAGATTTCAAAAATTTCAGAGGAAAGAAGTAATTTTGCATTCCAAAGACTTTACGGGGAAATGTAGCTCTAGAGGCATGACAGCCTAAATAGCTCATATTTTGGCTATACAATGTGTCTATACAATATACAAATAATCCTATCTTAGAAAAGGAAATACCTAAATCAGTGTGACAAAACTAAGAGTTTAATGCTGAAATCAGACTTCAAAAAGAAGTACACAACAAAAAGGGAGGAACATAAAACTAGGAAAACAATATCATGATTCTTTAAATCTAAACCTAAGAATAAGACGAAGCTTATAAAAATTACCAAAGTCAACAAAAGGGCCTTGCTTCATCCAAGGACAAAAAACAGATAGGAACTTGGAGGAAAATGGTGTAATGTTAACAGTCTCCAAAAAAATGAAAGCCGTAAACTAATCTCTATTTTGTTTCCAATTTCTCCATCAAGGAGAATAATCTTAAAACCGTAAAGAGCAAAACAAATCTACCATAAGGATCGATATCCAAAGCAAGTAAGGAAAGCACCTATCCACTTAAGTCTCAAGAACTAGACAAATTTTATTTTTCTGAGTAACAAAAGAAATTAGAGACATTTCTTTGATGATACCTCTCTATACAAAGTGTCCCAAAAGTCTTAGTACAGTTAATTTTTTTTAAACACTAAGACTTTCAAGACCCCTTATACTTTAACAATCCATGATTTTGTCAGTATATACTCTTATCAAGTCTGATCAGAACCCTATGTCTGAATAAATGGCCTTCCTTAGTTGCCTCCACCCTAAAATTGAGCACAAAGCAATTAACCTAGTGACTGATCTCTCCAAATTTAGCAAAGGTTAGTCCTCAAACAAAAGATGTACATACAGTCTTGACCCAGGACCTGTGATCAAAGTTTTTCCAGTTTCATGAGACCTACCAAACTTGAACAACAGAGCCTTCAGGAACCCAGGGCCACCACACCACCAGGATCAGGTGTCAGAACAGGTATAGAGTAAGTAATCAGAAGTCAAGTAGAAAATAAAAAAGGTACCCAAAACACCCTGATTTTCAAAATAAGGAGGAGGGAGTAGTTTCTGAAAACTTGACAGGTATCTCTGATGTCAACTTAAAATTCCAGAGTCTGTTATTAAACAGATGACTATAGAGTACACAAAGAATTATTTTCACCCATCAGAAACCTAGGCTGTGGTAAGCATGAATAGTTTCACTCTTTAAGTAAGACAAAAGGGAAAAGAGAGCTGTGGAGATGTTCTTGGATAAGCTTCTGTTTGTTGTTTAAATCCACTAAAAAAAAGTAGGCAATTTCACTTTTTAGATGTTTTACTTGCATTTCAAGGAATTTTTACACGTTTCCAGTTTTAATTTCAGTTCTATCTCAACAAAGACATCAAGTTTAGAATCTTCGAATGATATAGAAAGGAATCCAATCTCCCCTCCTACTAGTTGTATGACCATCATAATTTCTCTGAGCCTCAGTGCCACAACAGCGACATTAAGCTATTTCATAGGGTTGCTGATTGTAGAAAATGTTTATTAATAAGCACTTCATAAACCCTTAAAACATTATATGAGAGCTATTATCATTAAGTTTGAAAATTACAATGATGAGGAAAACAAGAATGATTATGCTATTCTTTGACGTGTAAGATTATATTTGTATTACAAGATACAAATACTCTTTTTAGCCCAAAGAGAGAAAAACAAATTTAAGACATTAATTTCTACTTCTTTTGTTCTGAAATATTTTGGGAATCAAAAGACCTAAATGAATTTTAAAATAAGTGGTTTCCAGACATGAGGTTTCAATAAACATGAGTTGTTTTTTCTTTCAGTAGTTCCGACCTTTTGCTAAATAATAAAAACTTCTTTGTCTCTTCCCCTTCCTGAGTTTGAATTTCTCCATTAACTCCCATAAGTGATACTGGCCAATTAAAATGTGCTTAGAGCCCAAAGAATACTTCAAATAAATTACCCTCTTGCACTGTAGTAAAACCCCCTGCTGAGCCAGCCTCATTAGCTAGAGAGTCAATTCACCTTCCCAGCAGAAAAGAACACAAGTGCTGCTAAATGCTAATTATAACCTAAGCTTACTAATATAGTTGCATTTCCCCCCTTTATACTAGCACAACAAAGTTCACTGGCTGATGCCTAGATCAAATGAGCATGGAAGGTAGTTAAGATAAATGTTAAGACAGCCATTAGAGTATATAATTGATGCAAAAAAAAAAAAACAAACCTTCAAAAATCACATTTTGACTATTAACCGGATTCAACACTCCCACACCCATTAAGAATGCAATCTATGGAAGAATTGTGACCCACAAGTCTAAACTCAAGGCCTGAGGAATAAGAACTGTCAAGTGGCATTTAGTTTCAGATTCACTATACATCTTTGAATAAAGGATAGTATTTTTCACCTTTAATAAAAGAATTAAGAACTTAATACCGGACAACTTATATTCCATATGAATTTTAAGCTACTGCTGCTGCTTACTTCAAACACTGGCTAAGCATTTAAATGCTTTAGACCAGGGGTGGGGAACCTGCAGCATGGAGGCCACACTCAGTCAAAGGACCACAGCTGAGGACCTAGAGGGCCACATGTAGCCTCTAGGCCACAGGTTCCCCACCCCTACTGTAGACTGTGCTAGGTTCAGTTCTGAAAAACAAAAAGAAACTGAAGACATGACTTTAAGGGAATATGACCCAGAAGAGAGGAAGGAGAGGGGAGATAGAGGGAGACAGAGAGACACAAAGACAAAAGGGGTGTGTGTTGGACAAATAAACACATTGACTATGCCATTTCTTAGAAAAGAGACCAAGGAGGGCTTCTAGTACCTCTCTCACTAGCAGGTTCACTTTTTTTTGGTGAGGCAATCGGGGTTAAGTGACTTGCCCAGTTAAGTGACACAGCTAGTAAGACCACATTTGAACTCAGGTCCTCCTGACTCTTAAGGCCACAGCTCTATCCACTGGGCCACCTAGCTGCCCCTAGCAGGTTCACTTTTGATCCAGTCAGATGGGAAGACAGGAATGGAGTCATAATAAGTTTACTTTATTCTAGTCTAGTCTTCTCAAAAGGAGTTTGCTGATAATGGGAGTACCAACTCCTACAGTATTCCCTAACAAACCTTTTCACAGGTTTCACAGGCATGAAGGGGGAGCAACTACCTCTCATCTCGATGGGGTCAACTGAGACCAGCACAACTTGTGCACTTCCCAAAATCCCCTTAAGCCTCAATGGGGGCTGGTTGAGGCAAACACACAGATTCTTCCTCCCAAGCCTTGATGGGGCACGCACCGCATTCAGCTTGCACATTCACAGTAGAGATTGTTATGGCTATGGATCCTGGGAAGGAAACTCTAAGAAAGAATGACAAAAAATAAAATAACAAAAAAATCCACTTTACACACACTAAAATTCACCTTACTTACAAGGAAGAGAGATGGAGGAATATTGGGGGGGGGGAACCAGAGACAGAGAAAGACCCTCAAAGGCTGACACGATACTGACGTGACCAGATCTGAAGAACTAACAGGTAAAAGAAGGCTGGTTTTAAACGAACAGTAATCTAGAAAAACTTGTCAGGAACTTCTATGGACAGTAGAGTCAGATGGTAGGCAGATCTGTGAACAGGCCTAGAGCAGGGGATATTTTCGCTCCACAATATCTCACATAACTTGGTAATAATGGAATATAAGAGGCAGAAGAGAGGGCAGAGCAAAAGATACATACTTATCTTTTGAATTCAATAAATAATACTCGCTAATAAGAACATGAAGGAGCAGGTTTTCAAGGAAATTAATAAACTAAGTTTTGATTATGTTAAGTTTCAATGTTTAAAAATATTAATCAACCATGGATGCATATTCAAAATTTGCTTTCTTTCTCTTATCTTGCATAACCTGACTAATGAAAGACAAAGTTCTTTGCATTTCTTGCCTAAAGCTACATAAGAAAATCTGATTTTTTGCTTCTTCATTTTCTAATTAACCTGACACTTAGATCTCTAGTCCTTTCCTCTTTGGGTTAATAGAGTATCTCCATGTCTTTGCCTACCTTTAATTATCAGGCCCCTCCCCCCCTCCTTTGGTCAGGGTTCAATATGATTCCCTTAAAGGAGGCAACAGAAAGTCTTCCAACTAAAGGACAGCAATGCCTATGCTTAAACTTTTACAGAGCCACTCTTCACAACAAACAAAAA